CCCCCCTTATCACGATTCATTCCCTTTCCCTCCGCTCTTCCGGAAAATGGAGACATCTCAGTTATTTCTGCTAACTGACAATGGCATCTAAGAAAACAGAGGTAACTCTGCATTTTTAAGTGAAAATGACACGTTTTCGGTTCTTCTCAAAAGAAAAGGCCTTTAAGGTGCTTTGAATTCCCCGCTCCTTTTCTGCTGCAGTGTTTAGAGACAATCATCTCACAGCCAACATCCAAAGAGTTTTGCTTTCCTCGCAGTTTCTAGTGCTTCCGCTGACATTTTGTGCAATGTACAAATCGGGGTTGCCGGCATTTCCCTCTTTCTTTTGTATTGGCTTGTCTGGGTCGGGTTTGCTTGTTTCTGCCCCCTTTTCTAATGCTCCTCTTTCCATCTGTTGTTTCGGTTAGGAACACCGAATAAAAACATATGCACAATTTTTTTTAACTTAAAAAGGGCTGTATATGTTCTGTTACTGGCTTGTCACCTGTTCTGCAGCAGATGAAAAGGTCTCCCTCTCAGAATCAGTGGCAGGCTGCTCCCAGGAGTCCTCAACCTCTTCATTTCCTCCTGCAGTTGGTGCCTGGCTTGGCACCTACATAAATGTTGCCGGTTTGCCATCGAGTCCAGGCGCCTGGGCTGCCTCCGCCGATCGCAGGCTGCCTCATCTTATGAAATCGTGGCTGAAGCGTCTGACATTAAGCTGCCTCATACGGAGACAGATAATTGGCCCATCCAGTCCAGCAGGGCCTCCGGTGCGTTGCCAGAGCTCCGAAGCAGCCTGATTCCTGAGCGGGCGGTTCATCCGGTTCGCCCGGCGTCTACAGAGGTGCAGAACCGTGGGCCGCGCAGGAAAACACAGCCTTCCGGGGTTCCCCAGCCCCGCGGGGCTGGCGCTCCACACATTCGAACAGGTTGGAAGGCCTATCTTAAAGGTCCGTTCCTGGCAGTAGAAGCGGGAATGGGACCGGGCTGCTGTTTTGCTCGTGCGCTCTGGGCTGTGCCCACCACTCCGGCCCGTGGGCTGAGAGCTGCCCTGCACCTTTAGTTCCATGCGCTGCCTGAGTGGCACTACTACATTTTACCAGCAGGTGCCCCCACATTACCAAGTGATGCTGAGACACTGGACCAGTTTCTCCCCCTTCCTGTCAGGCTGGGACTGCGTGAAAAAGGCAGGCGAGCAAGCCGTCCTGGTCCGCTGGGGGAGCGTGACCCCTGGTCTGGGAGGCCTCGGGGTGGCGGCAAATGCGGGGGCGTTCTGGGCGGCGCACAGGATGGGATGCAGGGTGGCAAATCGGTGGTGGTTTGGTTTGGATGCCAGAGGCCTGGGTGCAGATCTCTGGATGGGGGCCTTGCGGGGAACGGCTTGTCTATTGCATGTGTTAGGAAGGTGTGATATGTGCGCTGGCCGGTCTTTTCTCAGCAATGACTGAAGACAAACTCTGAGCGTGTCTGGGGACGAGCACTGCAAAACTGCACGAGAGGCAGTGGTGGTGATAACAATGTGCTGCGAGACAGGCTGGACACGCACATGGTGTGCATGTCGTGAGCTGAGCCGGCTGGAGCCGGGGGTCAGGCTAGATGGCCCGGGAGGCCCCTTCCAACTCGTTCCGTTTCTAAGTTTCGACTGACTGAAAGCAGAGGGTAACTATAAGTGGGGAATCATCGGGATGGCGGCCAGTGACAAGCGGGGACCCCCAGGGCTCTGTCCTGGGGCTGATCCTGTTTAATCTTTTCATAATTGACATGGAAGAAGGGGTGAACCGTCTGCTAATCAAATTCTCAGACAATACTAAAACTGGAGCAGTGGCCACAACTGAGGAGCAGGTACTCCAGATCCAAAAGGATCTGGACAGACCATGGAAGTGGGCAGGAGACAACAGGATGGCGTTCAATGCGGGTAAGTGCAAGGTCTTGCACTTGGGGCATAGGAATGGGTGTCATAAGTACAGGTTAGGGGACAAGTGGCTGGAGAGCAGCACTTGTGAAAGGGACCTCGGGGTGCTGGCTGACTGCAGGCTGAACATGAGCCAGCCGTGTGATGCGGTGGCCAAGAGGGCGAACGCCACCCTTGGCTGCATAGCCAGAAGCATGGCTTCTAGATCAAGAGAGGTGTTACTACCACTCTACACGACTCTGGTGCGCCCAGAACTAGAGTATTGTGCTCAGTTTTGGGCCCCTCGTTACAGGAAGGATATAGCCAGGTTGGAGTCAGTGCAGCGCAGGGCCACAAGGTTGGTGGCCGGTTTGCAGGGGATGCCGTATGAGGCGAGACTGAGGGAACTGGGTCTCTCCAGCCTGGAGAAGAGGAGACTCCGAGGGGATCTGTTGGCAACATACAGGTATGTGAGGGGGTGTCACACGGAGGTGGGTAGAGACCTGTTCTCCCCTGCAGAGGAAGGCAGGACACGCTCCAAGGGAGCAAAGCTCAGGGAATCAAGGTTCAATTTGGATGCCAGGAAGCACTTCCTGACAGTTAGGCCCCCAAGTGTGGAATGGGCTTCCCCGGGAGGTCGTTGAGGCCCCATTGGTGCGGGTGTTCAAGGACAGGCTGGACATGCACATGGTGGACATGTCGTGAGCAGAGTCGGGGGTCAGACTAGATGGCCTCGGAGGCCCCTTCCGACTCGCTCTGTTTCTATGTTCTGGTGACCAGGGGCAGCTTTCTATGTGGCAAACTTAAAATGGCTCAATTTGAAAATCAGTTAAGCGGCTAGAGCTCATCGGCATCCGTCCGCCTGGTTCTGGGGTCCCCAGTCCTGCTCCCGCAGTCTGCTTTGGATTTTGAACCCCACCTGTGGAAACTGCCTTCCCTTACACAATTCTTCTGCTCTTCCCCTTTATTTACACCTTTATATCTCTTCCTATAATAATGCTGAATTGTGCATCTCACTAGTAAAACCTGGATTTAAAATAGGCTATGAGAAGCGTCTGGAGGGTGCTCGGCCTCCCATCTAGCTGGTTCTCGGAGCTACGACGACAGCAGCGTTTAACCCCTGGCATCGAACCCAGCGGGGTGGGGTGGGGGGCTGTATTTGTTTGTTTGTTGTTTATTTGGGATATTTCTAGGCCGTCCAATCACTCCGAGTCCCTGGACGGCTCACAACACTTTGAAGTAGAAGGCATCAAAGCTAAAATAAAATTGTAAACAACTTGCTAAATCACTATCCTTTAATTTACCACCTTTTGTCTTTCAAGCAGTGCGAGATAAACAAAAACATCCGTTTTTAATTTACTGTTTCCTCCTTTGCAGAACCACAACTGCCTCTTCATTCATTTTCAGTTTTAGCAGAAATGGGAGAACTCTCATCACACCAGATATGCTTAGACTACGTGTATGAACCCCAGGGGGACATTCAAGAGGTGTTTCTTGGGGCACCTGCCTGGGGGGGGGCTATGGGGGGGCACAGGTGGTGGGTTCTAGAGATCTGCTTCGTTCCAGCAACCTGCCTTACCAGATTGCGCCAGCAGTAGCAGGACCTGCCTACCTGTTCGCTTCCCGTCTTGCACACCTCGACTCTGGAGGTAAGAGGGCTGCCTGCCATGTGCAAAGTGCAAAGTGCACCCACCAACACGTGTCCTGCAGGGCAGGCAGCGGAGGGTCCGGCAGAGGAGGAGGAGGGGTAAGGCTCCCCCGTCGGCCCTCCTGCTCTTTGGGAGCGGTGCGAGAGCCAAATCGGCTGGGGCCGGGGGGGGGGGGGCAGGCGGGGGGCCGGGCCAGGCCGGCCTAAGCCCCCCCATGTGTCTGCTGGGCTCTGCCTGTTTTGAACTTTATGTCCCCGCGGAGACACATTCCAAAGGCCTGATTCAACTCCAGCCAGATCCAAGGTAAACAAGGCGGCCGAAATCGGATTCCGGCTTGGCTTATACCTGAATGCCACCCGCCCAGCATTTCGGGGAAGGCATGTTCCAACATGCCGGAAAGCTGTGTCTGTGTGTGTGTGTGTGTGTGTGTACACGCACATACACAACCAGCCCCACCAATTCAAGGAGGTTTGGCTTTCAACACTTGCGGCTCGGTTTTAGTTTGCGACGCTGAATGCGTGTGCTGGCCTCCCTCATCTTTATGCCCCCAACATGTGTGGGAACTGCAAGACCCATCATTCCCAGCCAACATGGGGATGATGGGGAGGTGTAGTTCCAACACCTGGAGGGGTGCTGATTTGGGAAAGTCCAACGCACCTGGCCACGGAATGGAGGTTTTATGTCCCTTTTCGTGGAGGGGTGGGTGTGTGGAAGCGCATAACTTAAGAAAACACCCTTTGCAGTATATGAGGACCTTTCTCTGTACTTTGATTTAACAAAGCAATGCCCTCGATGTTAATACTGTGCTTCAGGGGACTAGAACGGAGATGTAAAGGTGAGAAGGGCCGGCTTGGACAAAAACAGAACTAAGCACATTAGAACAGGCCTGTTACTGCAGCCGTCCGATATATAGCGCAGCTCGGAGAGGCCTACAAACAGAAGAGCCCTCCTGCTCACTCTCCATGGCATCAAACACAAGAGATAGACTGCCTTGGAATATGGAGGTTCCCCTCTGAAAGACGCAATCACAAGGCCTATGGAAAGCCATGCAGGCTCGGACCGATGGCTCTGTCCATTACGCCCGTCCAGGGGCGACTCCGCTGAAGGCAATGCAGTGCTAGAAAGGACTGAGCAGAGAAAAGCACCACATGCCGGGAGCCGCAGGAACGTTTCTGTCCAGACATGCACAGGATTGCATCTTAAATGGAAAAGTGCAGGAAAGGCCCTGCTGGATCGGGCTAGAAATCGCCGTGGCCCAAGGCCGAGGTTTTCCAATCCATCGCTGGCCGCGGCCACAGGCACGCTCTGAACTGCTCCACCGCTCTGCTCTCGCTGGCAGCCACGGCCTCCGCCCGAGGATGCCGAGCGCCAAGAGTCCCACCCTCAGCTGGGTGAAAGCCTGCAGGCGCGGCCGCGTTTCCGGGCTCTGCATGCTCATCCAAACGCTCTTTGCCCCGAGACTTCCCGTCCCTGCCGCCCACGCACCCCTCGGGGCTGGTCAAGGCCTCGCTGGGGCGCGGAGGCGGAGCGCAGATGCTGTGAAACAGACACGTGTCCCTTCGTGGCAGGGTGGGTGCCCCCACGCGGTCCACGTATCTTGGCATCCGTGCCTTCCTGTGGCTCCCGGTCCCGCACACTGCCGTCCTGTCATGGGCGGCCCCCGGTTCTTTGCAAAGCTAGGGGTGCGGTGAGCCCTCCCAACACACCGCAGGCACGATAATACGGCTTTTAAAGGGACTCAGACAGTCCCATGGGCGGGAAGAGTCTAGCAAGGGCCAGCCTGACAGACCTAGGTGCAAGTCCCCGCGCAGCCACAGAGCTCACGGAGTGACTTGGGGCCAGTCACGGACTCCCAGCCTCACCCATCTCACAGGGTTGTTGAGAGGAGAGGAAGGAGCGAAGCAGCACCACACAAATCAGCCTGGGCTCCTTGCAAGAAAAAAACGAGGTGGAGTATAAATTCATGCAGCAATATTACCAGCTACAAGTGCTCAATGGAGCTTCCAGGTTCAGAAGCACTCTACCAGCCAGAGGTTGCCCTTCATGCCTCTCTTTCTGGACTTCCCAGCTGCACCCTGTTAGAAACAGGAAGCTGGGCAGAGACTTTTGGTTGGATTCAGTGTCCTTGGCTATGTTCTTCGATGTCAGGAAAGTCCAGGGATGTTGACAAAAAGATCGGTATTTCCTGTTAATGATCTAATTTCCTCTTTCTCTTCCTAATCCAAGAATTCCTGGCACAGGCCACTTCCCTACACCAGACTCCATGAAAGACTTCTCTACGATAACCTCATGTGAGAATGACGGTTTTGTGACAATTTGCAATAAGGGAAGGATGACCTATCAGCCAACATGTCTCCATTCTCTCAAGGGACTTCCATTCCTGCGCAACCTATTTTAGCAACTAAGTGCGAACGGCCGAATTGTGCCGCAATACGGTTTAGTCCCGACGGAGCTCCCCTCTTGGGCCCCCGGCCCTTGTGCTTCCCCAACTGCTGTGCACCCCTTTGTTCCCCCTTTTCTGCAGCCTTCCGGACACCCTCCCGCACTCCGCAGCCAGACACAATCCCGCACTCCGCGGCCAGACACAATCCCGCACTCCGCAGCCAGACACAATCCCGCACTCCGCAGCCAGACACCCTCCCGCACTCCGCAGCTTCTCGGCTTAGCACAATTGGAAACTAACGCACGGAAAAGCCCATTTCCACTGCCACAGCAAGAATGGCACAAACCAAATGAGAAAAGGTGTACGTGTGCGAGGGAGGGGGGAGGGGGGAGTTTTGCATATTGCTTTTTGGCTGGGTTCCTCCGCCTCTTGCACAAAGCCAACAAGCGACAGGGAGACACACACTCCACGCCCCCTCCTTGTCTACAGAGATCACACTGCTAGTGTGGCATCTTGGCCCAGGAAAAGCTTGGGCCCCTGTCTGGGGGCAAGAGAGCCAGAGCCCCGTGGGCACGGGAGGCCTGAGGTCCCCCCCACTGTTCGGAGCCTTGGTGCAGGGCACGCCGGCCAGCCGAGGGGAGCAGCATCCCGGCCCCGCTCTCGTCTCCTGCGCGCAGTGCTTCCTGCTCGCCGCCCCCCCCCCCAAGAGGCAGCTGAAGCTGAGGAGCAGCGCATGGATGCTCGGGGAATGGGGTGGGGGCGCTCTGCGGTGGAACAGCGCTGTGGGATCTCCCAGCCCGGGGCAGGTCAGCTGGGGACCGTGCTCGGTAGCTTCACGGCCGGCCTGCGGTCTGCCCAATGGACCAGGTATCGCACGAGCCTTTAGGGGAAACTGGACGGCCTTGTGGAAGGAAGGACGCTGCCCAAAGCCACCCAGCCTGCGTCGTGTCGGGCCACAGAGCCAATCTGGCATGGTAACTGCTGCACTGTCTCTCAAGCAGCCTCCTCCTCTCTCTCGCCAGATCTGTGCTCCGGGCATCGGCTGCTGGCCCAGAGGGCAAGGAGAAAGCAGAACGATTCTCGACACAGTCTCTCTGGAAGGCCTGGGAGAAAACACCTAACCTCTCCGAGTCTCCAGGGCACAGGGCTGAGGAATGGGGTGCGAAACTTACTCCTGCCAGCTTTGCGCCGGCACCTTTCCCATTCAGCCCTCGGTGTTTTCTTAGAAAGTTTGGTTCAGTGCCCGAAGGGGGTGGCAGTGAGAACCAAAGAGGCCCGTCACGCCACCATGAATCAGGGGAGCCTCTTGGACACACAAAAGGCTTTCCGAGCGAGATGCCCCATTTCCCACCAGCAGGCGAGGGAGTCTCCATGCCAGCACAGAGACAGTTGTGTTGCTAAGGAGGGCAGCCGCTACGCGCTGCAGGGCGAAGTGCGCGGACCGAGGCAGCTGCATCCCTGCGTGAACCGCGGGCGGGGGCGAGACTTCTGAGGGCATCGCAGGAACTCGGCATGAAGGCACCTGCCACCCACCACGAACAGCCCCTGGTGGGGGCGGGGGCTGTTCGCACAGGTGCGCACACAGCCCACGGCCAGGCGGGGGTGGCACAGAAGGGGGGGAAGGCAACCGACCCGCCTCTTTCCTTTGCAGCCCCCCCAGAAAAGAGGGTCCCGTGCTTCTTCCTTGGCACACGACCTCGGACTGCTCTGAGGAAGCGCTTCTGAAGGCTTGCTGTCCGGTTCTGAGGTCCTTCGCAAAGAGCCACCCCCTAAAGGAAATAAGGGCGGGGGGGCTTCAAGGGGAAGGGCCTTTTTGGCTGTGGCACCCCAAGTGTGGAATCGGCTCCCCGGGAGCTGCGCCTGGTGCCCACTCTTTATCTTTTTCAGCACCGGGTAAACCCCTTTTTATCCACCCAATATTTTAATAGCCAGATAATTTTTAAATCTTTTTATAGCTATTGATTTATCTTGTATTTTACTGGGCTTATTGCTGCTATACAGAGCGCAGCTGTTGTGGGTCCTTGTTGCTCTTTTGCAGCCGTTATTTTATCAGTGTTCTATTGATTTGTTGTTGTAGTGTGTTTGTCTCTATTTTTCGATCTTGCAAACTGCCCAGAGAACTGTCTTGGTTAATGGGTGGTACGAAAATAAAATAAATACATTCAGTTTGGAAGATTCGGGAGTTTTAGTCTACCTGACGCTGGTGTGGCCTGGGGGGGGGGGGTTATAAAGAAGAGAACTATTATGTCTCAGAAATGACAGTTTCTCTGCTGCGTCCTTTGGCGCTCACTTCCTAGTTTGCTTGGTTAAGATTCCAGCCCAGAAACACTAATAATGCTCCATGTGTTTATTCAAACCTGCACCCCACCACCCGCCACACACCCTGGATTCCCACTGCCCCCTTTCTCAAACAGACCAGAGTCCATCCATTAACGCCCAGCTAATTGCAGCTGGCGAGGGGGGTCCGGGGGGGATGGGCGCTTCCCCCCACGGGGCGAGAGTCCCAGCTGTGATGAAGGAGGTAGCCCCGTCTGCTCCCCTCAACGCTGCGGCTCGTGGCAACTACCACCCGTCCTTAATATCCCCCATTCTGTGGAAGGTGTTCAAGCCAAGCGAGGCGTTTTCCGAGCTGTGCGACTCCAGAGCCTCATGGATAAAACCGGTTTTCTAGACACGTCTCAATCCGGAATCGGGTCCAGGGCTAGCACACGTGACCTGGGCTTGTCCTGACAGGTGGCTTTGCCAGGAGGGGGGCTGAGAAGCGAGTGGGCACCTGGTCCCCCGCCCCCGGGTTTGCAGTGGCCTTTTGCCCCCTTCTGGGCCCACAGTGGGGCTCGGCTGTTGGGAGCCGGCCAGCGCTGTGGCTCTGCCCCACGTGTATGGCCGGCGCCGGGGGGGTTGTGGGAGGGCACGGACGCCAGCCCTGACAGGAGGGGTCTGTTCAGAGCGCAGCCCTGTGGTCCGTGTACTTATCCGGACACGAGGCGCTCGCGTTACGGGATGCTGCCATGCTCGCGCAGGCAGGCAGGTTCCGAGCCCCCCGCCAGAACCCCGGGGCACCGCTCTGGTTTCCCCTGCATGGCTCCCCAGGTCTCTGGACGCGGGGCTCCCCCCAGCCCCACCCTGAGGGGCTACGGGTGGAACCTGGGAGGGAGCTCCTCTCACGCGATGATAAGCAGAGCCCCATCCACGGAGCCCGAGGTCCCTGTCCCCCGCGAGCTGACAATTTAGGCAGCGGGCCCAGCTGCAGAAGAAGGGATGGGGAAGCACCCGGGGGGGGATGTGGCTTTTTGCTGGGCGGGGGCCCAACACACGCAATGGGCCCCGTTCCTGCCGAGTCAGCTAGCGCCTCTCTCGGGCGCGCACGTGTGTTCTGCCAGCAGCCTCGCGGAGGCAGGCAGGCAGGCAGAGCAGCTGGCGTCAGCACACGGGCAGGACAGTGTGTTCCTCGCAGGGCCGGCGCGGGCTCTCACGCGCCGCTGAGCAACGGACTGGACGGTGCCGCCGGGGCAGGACCAGGCATGCAGAGCCGCCCGCCTTGAGTCAGCGCCTGCCTCTCCCCTGACTCACGCGCGTGTGGCCGAGGCCGAGTGCTCGCCGCAGTGATGAGGCAGGGCTTCCTGCCCGGGAGGGGCCCTGCAGAGCGAGGCAGCCTAGCCTTCCCTCGCGCCCAGCCTGGGAATCCCAGATCCGGCGGCCCAGGGGCTCTTTCTGTGCTCCGCCGTGCTGGCTTCTTCCGAAAACTGTCCCTTTCTGTGGCTTACATAAGGACTGGAACGAGGGCCATCCTGGGCCTTGTTCTTCCTCTAAATCCAGCTGGCCAGATGTGCGGACATCTTTGGCGGTGTCAGTGGGCTTTCCCCTTCCATGTCTGAAAACACCTTCCTTGTGCGAGGCATTGAAACATGATCTCTTATTTTAAAAGAGAGAAAGAAACTGGGGATTCTTGGGACAAGCCACAGTGCCCTGCGCCACTTTTCTGCGTGTTTCCCCAGCAGGCGCCCTGCTCTGCCCCCTCAGCTCATCTGGCCCAGAAGGGCTCTTCCTGGAAGCAGCAAAGTCACCCCGAAGTGGGGCATGAAGAAGGCAAGATGCCCCGGTGCACCCGTGCAAGCTAACGCTCTGAGGCATATCGCTTCTGAAGGCAGAAGCAAACTGGCATTTCTTCGCTATGGCAGAAATGTCCACAATTAATAATATCCGGGATGTGCATCCTGGAAAGGTCTTGGCTTGCTGGGTTCAGGCAGGTCTCCGACAATGACCTCTCCCTGAGGTCATGAGGAGGGGCCGCGGTCACTCCGTGGCTGCTTTGCTTGGAAAGGTGCTTCTGTTTTCTGTTATTTGCCTGCTTTGAGCTGGCACTAAAGAAAGGCCCACAGGAATTGAGCTGACATGATCGGGGCCATGGCACATAACCTTTGTGTTCACTCTAAAACTGCAAGGTGCGTGTGTTTTTCTCCTAGAAACAGGCACTCACGTTGAAGAAACAACGCGAAAGAAACGGCCTAGCCCTGATGGGAGAGGTTGCTTCCAAAGGCGGCATAAGGGGCACGGCCCTGTTCACCAGCTGGCTGCTCCTGGCAGGAGACATCTAATCTTTGTGTACATCACACACAAAGCCAGCTGGAACCGAGGCACCTGTCCACAAACGTGTCTGTGCCTGCATCTCGTAGAGAAGAGGGCTGTGGAAAAAGCGGCGGTCCCCCAACCTGGCCGTGAGACAGCTGGGAGAGCTCCCTCTCCCATCAGAGTAGACCCTCATAAACTGAACCACATGGCACATTATTAAGCTTGTGGGACGCATCCTGGCAAGATGGGAGGGCAGCTTCCAAAGGAGCTGAGGAAAGGAAGCAGGTCTGCTGCGCCCCCTTTTCTGCAGAAATCAGCTGGTGAGCCTTCTAGCAGAGCCAGGAGTGTGGCTCTGGGGTCCTCCGAGCAGCCTGCAAGCACCTTCTGTGTTGAGTGCAAGTCACTGATTGGAGATAAGGAGGGATTTCGAGGGAATGAAACTTTAAACCGCGCGCGTGGGCTTCGGAGGCGGTTTGGCCAGAATGGGATGGGTTGCGTGTTGCATCGGGCTGCGTGTTGCACTCTTGCTGGGGAAATGTGCTCGTGCCTTCTCGCCTCGTCCCTAAGGCCAGGAGCTGGCACTGGATCAGGGCCTTTGCACTGCTCGGCTGCTCCAAGTGTGGGGCAGATAATCAAAGGGCAGCTGGTCCCCCATGCCATCCCCTGCGGAAAGGCGGCAAGGGGGAGAGCTGCTTCCCCTGCTGACGGGGTGCCATGCGAGCTCAGAAACCCTGGAAGGAAGAAGTAGGAACTCCATATTCGCACTGTTTACGGGATTTGTGACTTGCAGCGATGGGGGCAGGGAGGCCTCCTTTCTAATAATAGGGGCAAGAAAGATCTGATCGTGGGAAATGACTGCTCCGGAAGAGAGAGGATAGAGCAACGCCCAGGTCCCCACAAGGAAGGAGCCTCATCCGAGGAATGTTTATTAGGGAATGGAAATCCTAAAGGGAGACCCTGAGCTGTCTTCCTCCCCGCACCCCATGAGGGTTTATACCACCACGACATGCTCCAATGCTGCCATCCCACCCTGATGCGTAGCCCACGGAATTGCAACAGCCACAAGAAGCAGCCAGCACAGCTCCTCCTGCTCGACGCTACAGGCGCAACCGCTCACGGTCCCAGCCTCCTGCCTTCCATTTCCCCCAGTACTGGCGTTCTGGGCCCACCCTCGTTGCTTCCAGTCCTGCCCACCAGGAACACAGGCCTCGGGCTGAACGGTGGCCTGCACCCCAGAGCTGTGGCCAATCTATGCAAGAAAAAGACGGAAGAAAAGAACCCTTCTCTCATCCCTGGAGCAGAATTCCAGGCGGAATCAAAGTGCCGTTTGCAGCAACAGAGGGCATGCCAGCCTGATTCTTTCTCTCCACTTCTCTCTCGCGGGGGAGGCAAACAGTGCCTGGGCCCCCTGGCACAATTAATGCCGGGGGGGGGGGAGCTGGCACAACTTCCCGGTTCTGCCGAGCCTCGGAGTTCTCCCTGCATCCAGCGGCCTGCAAAGCACCGGGGCCGTGCCCCCCCGGCCCACCCCCAGCCTCCTCCGCAGCCCTCACTGTGCTCTCCTGCGCACATTTCCTCTCCTAAGATGGGCTGGTTTCTGTCACACCGAAACCTCGCCCCCCTCTTCCTTAAGCAGAGACCGCTTCCGCATATCACGCCCGAAGGGAAAAGCCCTGCAGCAGCGCATACAGCACAGGGCTGGCTTGCTGCCCGGAGGTGAGGCGGAAGCTCCGGCCTCTGAGCTGCACTGCACACGGTGCTGCGCATGAAAGCAGCGCATGGCGGCACGGATATCGGCGGCGGAGGAAGGGATCCGCTGTCCTTCCACAGTGGTTCGCATCAAGCAGTGTGCGAGAAAGCGGGGCTTTGGACTGAGGCTCTCCAAAGCAGGGCCCCAGCGCCCAGGAAGTCATAAAAAGGAGCACAGAGGACCGTGCTCTGATGTGTGCAGAGCAATTTTTGTCGTCGCATAACTACCATCCTACCACCAGCTAGGATTTTGGAGGTTGACGAGACAGGACACCAGTTCTGGCCCTCTTCAAACCACAAGCACGGCTCGTTTCCAATTCTAAGAACTGCCCTGCACAGGATGTGTGAGCTGTCAAGTCATCGAAATTATTATTATTATTATTATTATTATTATTATTATTATTACACATCCTTGCACTAAATTAAACACCAAGCTCGGGGCAGGGGGCCTTGGCCTGCAGCTCCAGCCAGACCCTGCCGGTTCCCAGTTCCTCAGCTGGATGAGCCCTTTCCCCTACCAGCCCCTCCCTTCCGCTGGCCACTGATCCTCTGAGGGCTTCCAGCAGCGGTAAATCCCCCCCCCTCCCCAGTCTAAAAGGCTGAAGGGGGGAACTGCAGTCGCTCCATCAGTTCAGCCAAGACACAAGTCGGAATATGCTTCCTCTTTTCCCTAAACAGTTTTCCTTGCTGCCTGATCATTCCACCAATGGCGCAGCCAAGGCCTAGCGCCAAAGGCTTTCCTCCTCCCTCCCAGCAGTTTTTCCTTTTGTCTTGCAGCCCTTCAAATATGAGCCTGAAGACAAGATCTGTCTTCCAATTGGTCTTTGCCAGCTGGGGGATGAAAATCCAAACTAGCCAGCCAATTGCAAGCAGCCCCTCTGCATAGGAAATTGAGGGTGGGGGACGGAGAGTTCAACCCCACCTTTTTGGACAAATCCCATTCCATTCTGTTTTTACAAATTGAGGATATTGCAAAGAAGCTAATACAGAAATGAAACCAGACAATGAATGGGGTGGGGGGGGAGGGGGGAAGAGGAAGGATGAGGGTTTTTGTTGTTCCCCACAGAAGGCATAATTTGAAAACAGAGACGTCTGTGTCTTATCTGCTAATACCTACAGAGCAACACTCTGCAAAGAATAGGATGTTGTCTGGGCAGGCTGCCCCCCCCCCCCCCCCCCCGCGTGAAGCCAGTAACTTTAAGAAAGGCTGACAGTGCATCTGAATTTGCTAATTGGGGGTAAAGTTGAAGAGTGCTCTTGAAGAATGTTGATTTAATATGCCAATATGCCTGGCAGTATGAAGAGCAAATTTACTGTTCTGCAAAAGGAGTAAGGAGACTAACCTCACACCTGGTTTTGAAGTCAGAGGGTATAGCTTACTAGCAGAACCTCTTTGTAGCAGAGGAGGAGGAGGAGGAGGAGGAGGAGGAGAGAAGCAGCCACCACCGCCACTTCTCCCTGCAACACACGCACACAATTTCGCCTCCATCTTCAGGACGGGAATCAGGAATTGGCACTGGAGGCCTGCAGGCTGCCTTTTCCTGAGAACACACCCGGAGCTCTGCTGGCCCACGCGAGCTCGAGGAAGCCGCAAGCCCAGGGCCACAGCAGCAGTGGCCACTCTGGTTTCGACTTGGTTGTTAGTCGCAAAGCCATGTCCGACCCATCCCAGCCCCATGGACAACCTTCCTCCAGGCCTTCCTGTCCTCCACCTTCCCCCGGACTCCACCCAAGCTCATGCCAACTGCCCCAGTGACTCCATCCAGCCCTCTCATCCTCTGCCGCCCCCTTCTCCTTTCACCTTCAATTGTTCCCAGCATCAGGCTCTTCTCCAGGGAGTCCTTCCTTCTCATTAGGTGGCCAAAGTATTTGAGTTTTATCTTCAGGATCTGGCCTTCTAAGGAGCAGCCAGGGTTGATCTCCTCTAGGACTGACCGGCTGGATCGCCTTGCTGCCCAAGGGACTCGCAGGAGTCTCTGGAAGCCACCTGAAATCCGCCAAACCCTCCTGGGAAAGCCCCTAAGGCAGGGCCACGCATCCCTCCAGTGGCAGCAACTTCCGCGCATCCCGTGAAGACCAGCCATCTGCCTCCCCCATCCCTGACTTGCCAGCCTGCTTCTCCAGGGCGGTCCAGAGGGGATCCCTCCCACGGTGGGGGCCCCTGCAAGAACCTCGCTTGGCCTGGGGGAACAACCGGCTCCCCGGCTCCGCCCAGCGCCAGCTCGCTTTGCCCAGCAACACAGATGCTTATAGGAAGCACTCTGGGGAAAGTGTGCGCATGTGCTTCGCAAAAGCCACAGTCAGTTCCTCCATCACACAAAAGTAAAGTTGCATTTCAAACATCATATGCTGCATTTCGGCGATTTGCTTTCTGCCCTCCCCACACCCGGGGGGAAAAAAACCACTAGAAGAACAAGGTCAGACTTACCAGTACAGCCAAATGTCTCTTCCGGCTTCTTGAAGTAAGAGCTGGCTACATCTTCCATCAGAAGGGATCACACAAACAGGTGTCTTTAGGATCTTTGATTTAGGAACTGGGAGTGGTCACCCCACAAACAGGAGGAAGGCCTGCTTTCTGCTCCTGGGGCCCTGATCCTGCAAAGCACTCCTGGGCCAGCCTGGTGCTCATGGGGAAGCAAGGCCCACCACTTCGACTTGCTCACAGGCCCCCTTTCGGGCTGGGCGCCCCTCTTTGTCTCAAGAAAGCAGCCAGCTGAACAGGCGAACAGGAAGCGCCAGCCCCGCAGCTCCCAGGCACCAGCTGTGGAAAGCTCACGTGTGCCAGCGAGGGAAAAGTGGACCTTTCTGGGACCATCCAGGTCGACTCTGGGGGCAGGACCCTTTGAGGGGCCACAAAAGACCACCCCCTTGCCTGCCAAAGTGGGCTCCAGCCCCCATAAGTAGTCTTGGAAGGGCTTGGAAAGTGTGGCTAAGCTGGAGACCACCAGGTCCAGACCGCTGCTCAGGGCAGGGCACCTAGAGCTGCAGAAGACCCCACAGAAGACCCCCAGGGAGAGAAGATGCCATAAATACCCCTGCAGTTCCCACCATCAAGCTCCTCTTAGGGTTCAGTGAAAACAGGACCTTCAAGCCCACTAAAAAGTCCCACAAGCCAACATTCCCCAGCCGGGATGGATGCCAAGAGCCGCAAGGCTTTCTCCTGCAAGTTTCTCCTAGTGCTCATCCAGGATCCTCCCTCCTGTCCCTTTAACTTCTTCCGCCTAGCATGGCCCTCTCAGGAAGCAGGAAACAAACCTTCCCTCTTTCCTGGCAGCCCTTCAGGGATCGTGTCCAGTTTCTCTAGGCCGTCCTAGAGCTCCTCTAAGTTTCCTCGTGAGGCTTCCTTCTCTTCCGCGATTAGAGCCCAGTCCTGAATTGGTTCCAACTTCTCCATGTCCGTCTTAAGTGGGGCAGCCAGTACAGGCCGCCCCCCGTCCCCTGTCCCCAGGATGGATTTTAAAGAGAGTCTGCAAAGTCTGGCTGGTCTTTTGGTCCGCATTACTGTAGGCAGGCTGGGCAATTAACGCAGATCTGCACCTCACGAAGAATCCCTATGACTTTTGGAGGACAAGGCACCTTCGTTTGGTGTTGCTGGAGCGGCCCTAACACGGCCACCCCTCCGCTCTGGAACGCAGGCCGGTGGGGTGTGCAAATCGTGTGCCACAAGAGCAAGCACTACTTCCCAGGACGGAGTCCCCGGGGGCCTGACTTTTAAGCCCCTGCAAATGCAGCCTCATCTGGGGCCACGAAGTGCATGTCTGAAACGGACGCTGGGGGGGGGGGGTTTAAAAGCAAGAGGTGGCAGCCCTGTAACGATGGTTGGGGGGCTCAGCCCACCCCGCACTGCCACCCCGCACTCCACTGTCTCTTTTGCACAACTGTCGCAATTCGATTTCGAGCATGAACTCACTGGGGAGAAGAACATCTTTTCGGGGGTTTATTCATAAACAGAGGCCTTCCCTTTCCTAGCCAGGGCTGCTAGATACTAATGCGATAGGTAATCCAGACGCCACTTTCTTCTCTTCCGCTTCAGAAAAATCAACAGCTGATTTAAAGGCAAGCAGTGGAGCCGAAGGAGCCTCTGGGCATGTGCAGAGAGCTGGCTCTGGCTGAGAGAGCGCTACTTGACGCAAGACTTTCCCTGCCCATGTTCTGAGGTTGTGAGGGCGCTGTTGGTGGTGGCCTCCAGCCGCAGAACGCTCCCCTGGTGATTATGCTGCTATCCTTTCAGAGCCAAGCTAAGGCTTTCCTGTTCTCCCAGGCTTTAGAATCGTTTAAAATGTTTATTTTTAAAAAAGTATTTTTGTGTTTTCTTACTGCAGTTCCGGTAATGTGGTTACATTTCTCCTGCCTGATATTTTATGCTGAGCTGGCACATGTGTTGTTCATTTTAAACTGATTGTATTTGAAGCATTTTAATACTGCACAATGCTTAGGGAAAAAAAAAACATCTGATGAGGAATGTAATAAAAGCAGGAAACCAGCGAGATAAAATTTGTTCTTGGGGCTGCGAAACACTCCGAGATATTTCTTTAGACTCTTTTTGAGCACAATTGGAGCCCCCCATATCTCATTGCCCTTTTCTTAAGATGGCATTAATCGCACTGCGAAGAGTTGCGAGGGAACGTGCATAAAAAACGGTTGAAACAGATTGGTGACATTCCTGAAGCGACCCGCTTTTTAAAGAGCCGGCGGCTACTGGCCCAAACACTGATTTTCCGGGTTGGGGTCGCTCCCCTTCCCCCCTGCTCCCCCCACCGCGTCTCTCCTAGCCCCCTATTGTGTCTTTGCCCAACACTGGCAGAGAAGGGATCAAAGAGGCCCCCCCCAGAGTCTCCAGCCCTGTGCCAAGCGTTGGTTTATTCAAGAGGACTGGAGGACCGGAGGTCACGTCCTCCTCTCTCCATCCAGGGCTAGACAAACAGACCAGCCGGCCAAGAGAGGCGGGGCCAGGGGAAAGGGAGGGGGGGGGGGGGGGGGGGGGGGGCTCGGAGCTGGGAAAGACCTTGTGGGAGATGGCATGAGGCCCACACAAGCCAGCCCCCTCTCTCCAGGCCCAGCCCCGCTCACCTCCATGCCTCCTTCAGGCAGCACCCTAAGAGCGTATCGTCCAGAAAGCATCGGCTGGCTTGGCTGAAGCGCACAGAAGCTGTCCCCAACCTGGTGCCCTCCAGAAGGCACACCTGTGTCTTGGCTGCACTTTTCAAGCCCTTTAGTGGGCAAGCCAGCCGCCACGGGAGCCCCTGTGCCACTCGGCCCTTCGTGTCAACAGCATGTCCGAAAAGAACAATGTAAAACGCAAAATTGAAACCCCCTTTTTTCAAGAAAATGAGGAGAGGTGTGGGCTGGGTGGTCGGGAGCCAAAACCAGAAGGTGAGGCGGACAAGAAAGGCCGGGACAGGTCTCAGAGGTCAGCCGATCAAAGCCGTGTTGTGTGTGGGATGTCAGAGGAGGGCAGGGCACGGCGAGGCTGAGGCTAGGGGTGGGATAATAAAGGGGGGGGGGGTTCAGCCTGGTACTCACCTGTCCCATGGGTGCCCCCCCCAGCCTGCGTTGCCATTACATGGAGAAAATGCAGAACGGGAGTGGCTGTGAAAAGGAAGAGAAGAGTCACCAGATCACCAAGGGGGAAATGAGGGTGTGATGGAATTTCCTCCTTGGGAAAAGTGTGTTTGGACTCCACATTGTTGTGGTTTAAGCAACAGCTAAAAACATATTTGTTCACCTGGACTTTGGAACTCGACTAGGTCGCGCGGCTTGGCTGATTTCAGGCTGTGTGCATGGGGGGCAGTGCTATGTTCAAAGCTTGGTTTTACGGTTGGTGCTTTTAATTATGTACGAAGGATGTGTTTTATGACCTTGCAGGCTGCCTTAGACCCCCGCTTGGGATAACAACACTCATAGCAATAACAACGACAACTAAATGGGTTGTTTATATTCATTGTGGCATCCGCTGATTGTAGCAAAGCTGCAAACCTTCATCAGATACGTGTGATGAAGAAGACTCGAGTCCACAAAACCTGCGCTGGGGAAAGAGTTAGGGTTCAAGCTGCCCCAAGACGCTTTGCTGAACAATGCCGGAGAGTTTGGACAGAGGGGGGGCGGAAGGACGAGAGCAAGGAACGTCGGGTGTCCGGCTTGCCCAGGTACCCCTGTGGGCGCTTTTCTCATATAACCTCAGTCCTCTATCAGCTCCATTGGCTTCCCGTCGAAGTCTGGGCTCAATTCAAGGTGCTGGTTATTACCTATAAAGCCCTAAACGGCTTGGGACCAGGATACCTAAAGGAACGCCTTTTTCCCTACATGCCCTCCTGCCCCCAAGATCGGCAGCAGAGGCCCTCCTCCGGGAACCTTCCGTGAGAGAGGTCAGGAGACAGAGTACCCGGAGCAGGGCCTTCTCTGTGGTGGCGCCCCGACTATGGAATGCGCTCCCCAGAGAGGTCCACCTGGCGCCATCATTATATGCTTTTTGGCGCCAGGTAAAAACCTTTTTATTTAATCAAAATTTTAACATGTTTTAATGGAAATTGGATTTTATTGTTTGTATCTTATTAAGTGCAGCCAGCGTGGAATATCTATTTTATTCTCATCTGTGTTGTAAGCCGCCCAGAGATGCAAGTAATGGACGGCATACAAATTTAATAAATAACTAAAATAAATAAATAAACTCATGAGAAGGGCCTGGAGGATGCAGCTCCCCCCGTTACACATCCCCAGGACACGGCACCTGGAGACAGGCTGCTGGAGACGACACGGAAGCCCCACCCCAAAATCCCAGCTGGAGAGGATGTA